AATTAAATAGAATTAAATGAATGCAATTCAATGAATGGAACAATGACACACTAAGCACTGAATGCTGTGCACAGTTTCTTCTATTTACCTGCTCCTCTGTGTCTCCATTTCTAGTTGCAGCTCCTGGTGTTGCTCCAGCAGCGTGACAGCCGAGGCCACATCGCTCGCTGCCTCCTCCTGCAGGAGCCGTTCCTGAACTGAACCCCCCCAGCGCTCTAGCTCCTTGGCCTCCTGCTGGAAACTTTGCAGCCTGCGGGCCTCCTCCAGTTGGTGCTGTCTGTCTGATGCTTGACATTTCACCTGTACAAAAATGTATTTTTTTTTAGTTTGTAGTTTTATTTTAGATTTTTTTTACTCAAAACATTTAATAATAATATAAGAATAATAAAACAGTAACAGCCTCTGAGTCTGTGTTCATCAGAATATCAAACCTAATTATAATGACCCAAACGCTGTACCTTTTCAGTCTTATACCACCTGCTTTGTACATACAAAAAATAAGACATCTTCACTTTTATAAATAAAAGAATGATGTCGAGTATGTCAGTGTCAATGCAAATCAACACAAAATGTTGCAAGCACAAAAGAGATGTTCTGTAGGAACACAGACTGAAGTTTGAACACCTTCACTCTCGGCTACTCCAGTCAGTCAAAGAAGGAAAATGTCACCTGATCCAGCAGAGCCTCCAAACCTCGAACCTCCTCCATAATGGCCGCACTCTCTGCCGGACTGCAGTCCTGCTTCCTGTAACACAGGATGTGAGCAAATTGAGTGGAGATGAATGGAGATGTACTCCACCGTGAAGTCTCTTTAGAAAAAACACTTTTAGCTAGAAGTTCATGTAAAGTGTTTTAACTTTGAAACCTTTCAGACTAATGCAGCTCTGTATTATTCGTAATGTAAAGTAAGATACCGTTATCATCTGTAATAGATATTTGGAGAGCGGTGAACACATGAACACATCGAAGTCCATGTAGCAAGGTACAGACCAGTGTAGGCCAATCCATTCATGTGAAAGTAATTCACATAACTATTCTCAGGAAAACTGCAGCTACCTTCCTTTCTTCAGTGTCACGTCTATGGCTCTTTTAATTTCCTTTATATACATATATCACATCACTGACGAATCATTATGAACATCAAATACAAAACAACAATGACTTATTTCTATCAAATTACCACATACATTTCTAAAATGATTATTATTGATTGATTGGTTGCTTAACATATTTGTAACCATCAATTACTTTTAAAGTGTTTTTGATTAAATTAAGTACTACTGAGACAACTGCAGAACACCTCAACATCCCACAGACTATATCAGACCATACATCTTTGCAACGCTCTTCAGGTAAGCAATCTTCCCCTCAAGCATCTTGATGTCTCTAAGGGCCCGAATCTGGTTCTTCTCCCCAGCAAGCAGAGTGAAGGGGGTGCAGCCCATGTCCACTTCGTCAAGCTGGGACAGCTCACCCTGCAGCTGAGCTTTAGCCTCCTCGCAGCTATGCAGGAAGGACTGCACGTCTGCCGTACTCAGCAGCTCCTTTCCTTTGTCATCCTTCAGCTGCTGAATCCGATCCCACCTGCAACACACCAAGAACCCAGAATTATCACACAGTTGTCACACAGTCATCAGGAGCCTCTGGCGCACCAAAACTGTCCAAAATGCTGTCCTGCCCAGGCACTTTATTATAGCATGTTGCTATAATAGCAAGCTGTTGTTACTGGGTCCTTCACTGTTGTCATTTTAATAACAGTAACAATGAGACATCACTTTTTCACAGGATCTAGTTTGTGT